CCCGCGGAACGGAGGCCCCGGGGCCTGTTTCCCGCCCGGAGCGGCCTAGCCGCCGCCGCGCGCCTTAGGCGGCCAGTTCAAAGGCGGAGAGACGCGACCCTCAACGGGGTCTGTGGAGAAAAAAAATTAGCGGGTGGCCCCACTGGTCCAAAACTAGCACCGAAATAACAGCCGGAGCCGCCAGGGCCGGTGACCGGAGTTGTGGAAGGGTCTCCCAGACGCTCTGGGGATGGACGAGGTGCGGACTCATGCTCCCCAGCACACCCACTATTTACACCCTTTGCTCCATTTTTTACGTTTCCCCATAAAACACGTCCACAAGAATCCAGATAGCCCAACTCCCACCGTTCCCGGTAAGAACAAGGTGGGGCAGGCGCCTGGAACAGATGCTGGCTCCAAGCAGTCTGCCACAAGGACTGATTGTTGATATATGTTTGTCTTTTTTTTTTTTTTTTAATTCAAAAATTAAAAGTAATGGGGAAGAAGGAAAATTGGCCCAGAAAGCAGCAGAAAAGACTTGTACGGAAGAAGTATTAAGGCTCCCGGACTGCAAGGCTCTACAGCAGTTTCCTGTAAAGCAGTGTCAGCTACAGAAAAAGGCCATAGCAGAAGCAGTCAGCTTACACTCCTCCTGCCAGACACCTGCACAGAAACCAAAAGGAAGAAGGAGATGGCGGATCCCAAGGAAAGGAGCCATTATGGAGTCCAGACTGGCACTGCTGGCACACAGTCCCTCCCCGTCCACCGCTAAGGCAACATGGCAATGTCCAAGCTTGCTGAACTTCAGCTCCTGCCCCAGAGCTCTGGTTCTGGGAAGCCAGTCACCTCTCCCACCTCTCTGAAGGGCTGCACACCTTGCGTGAATGCCAGTTTGTATCTCAGTCGGATGGGATCCTATGAGAGAAAGGAACAGAGAGAGGAGCACGTCATGGCCGCAGATTCCTGGGTCCCCTTCAGCCTCAGCCCTCACAGCCTGTCCGCAGTGAATCACCCTCTGAAAGGGCAAAGTAACACTTCAGCCATGTGGAAGCTCTGCACAGAAAAAGACCTGGATCTTTGTAAGATATATAAGTAGTGACTGGGAGCTACTGGGAGACTTGTGTAAGCCACCCAAAGGAATGCTTGGCAATCCAGGTCTAGCCAACCTTCTCAGTGACAGAGGATTCCTTACACCAGTCGTTGGTTTCATAACTATTCATCAGTGCAACAGAACTGCCACCCATCGCTTGTACCTTGGGTGGCCTCATGTTCCATCAGCTGCAGATATCTGAACAGTATCTACCAGGAGCCATGTCTTCAGGCAGACTGAAGCAGAACTGTGCAGGCCCCTGCAGCAACTGCCCATTCAATCCTTCAGATTATAGCTCTGAAAAGCTGTTTCAGGGGGAAAAATGTCTCCTCAGCACAACCCAGACTGCTCTGTCTCTCTCCTGTATCCTTCCAGCTTTCACACAAATACCCCACCCACTACAGTGACATTCATAGCACTCCACCAACAGACTCAATCACCACACGTACCTTGTGCGGATTGGCGAGGAGCAGGACCTGAGATACCACTGCAGGGGGGAGAAGAGGGCTGAAGGCAGGCAGCTGAGAACCAGATGCTGGCTGTAACTTTATTTTCATGGTCTGAAAGAGAAAATGAAAGGAATGCTTTTTGATCCATGCTGAAAAAGAGCTGGGAGTATTACCAAGCCACAGAGCTTTTTAAAGATACATCAGCCAGATTTTGTCATTTAATGACAAGCATGTCTTTCCACAGGCTGCATCTAAAGGCAGATCTTCCCAAACAGACAATTCCATGCTGCACATACACAGGCAGAACAAGTGCCTTACCCAGGAGGCTAAAGCAGCACATCTGGAGCCCTGTCTTGTTGTCTCAAGGCCAGGGATATACTCTGTGAAACAGGCACTGGAGCCACAGGCACCAGCATACAACAGGTTCACCATTCAGAGAAAGGGAGCCACGTAATTGCCAATGAGCAAGGCAAATCCTAAGCAAGAAACGGTGAAGCTTCTCCTCAGGACATTTCTGAGTAGTCCCACTCTCTGCTACTGGTCATAGGCTTCTCACCTTTGGGACTGCAGCCTGGAATGCTATATCCTTAATTGGTTGAGCTGATGTGCTCAGCATGGAAAGAACCATCACCAGCACATCTGGTCGGCCAGGAGCCGGGTCTCTGGAGAAATGGAGCATAGCCTTGAAACCATTCCTGTCGTACACAGTAAGTGGACAGACACTGCCTGCCGGAGACAAAAGGAGAATCAGAAACAAAGCATGGATTCCCCTCCCTTCTGAGGGCAAAACAGCAAAGACAGGATAAAGAACAGCAAAAATGAAACATGCATATAAACTTTTACTTCCTCCAACAAAGTCACAGACCGAGCAGAATAGAGCACCTGCCTGTGATTTACATTTTGCCTCTAAGGCAAATAAAGGAATCTGAATGTCTAAATTAGAGGTGGGGAGACTAGCAGCTCAGATTTTAAGGCTCAGCTAGAGATGTCAGGTATGAATCCCATACAGATATGACGGGAAAAGGAAAATATAACTCTTCAGCACATACAGAAGAGCATTATATACAGCCCTTATCACCAGTGACTGGTAAATCCACACCTGGCTATCACCATCCAGCCCTTCCAAAATCTGGGAAATCCTTCACTTGAGAGACTGAAGTCAGAAGACAATCAGGTCAGAATGTTCTTTGCACCCGTCCTCTTCCAAAAGTAGCAATGGCCAAGGCTCTGCTGTCCTCTTAAGAGGACGTGCCCAGCTCTGAGACACTGGGGTACCACTCACACAGGTTAACACTCCATCAAGTGGTTGCAGGGCCAGGCTTAAATTGAAAGGGCAGGCCAGTGTTAAATCGAAAAGCAGAGGTGGAAAGAACAGCTCTGCTTTAGGAAGCTGGACAACTTCCACCCATGGATATCTTTTAAGCCTCTGGAAAAGAACTGGCTGAAGCTTGACTAAAGGTGCTAAGACCGTGGTACAATCCTTAGCACTTGCTCAAATTCTCAGATACATTAAGTCCTTCATAGAACAGTTTACTCCAGCCAACCCACACAACATGAAGCTACTTTGGCCTGGTCTTCTGCAAAAAATCACAGAAGAGCTCCAATAAGCCTCTAGCAAGCAGAGCTGGGGCACAGAAATCATTGCACTTACTCGGTGTAATTGAAATTAAAGGGACAAAAAGGTGTTCTAGAGAAGCATCATGAGAAGCTGGATGCAAAGAGGCAGCAGGCTTCAGCTCATAGCCTAGGCTGGAGAAGGAAGTATCTGCCATTGAGCTATTTGGAAGATCTGGAAAGGGCAATTTCATTGGTGATAAATCCCTGGAAAGAAAAGCATGTAGAAAGCTTATATTAACTGGGGAGACTACGTGGTATATACCATCTTCTTCTGTGTCCATTTTGTGTTCCCAATCCCTCATTACTTTTTGGTATAAAGAAAGTACAAGCTTACACTCTCTAAGTTCTTAAGAAATTTGAAAACTGTCTCTATTTTATGTGGAAGAAGCTCCTGTTTCAGCATTCGTTAAGGCAGACTTTGATTTCTGTTACTAATGCAAAACTGTTTCAGGGCTGTGGTAGTCTCTTCTCCCTGTGCACAGACTCTCTGGAGCTCTAGTCAGTGAGATAAAAATAAGTTCTAGCTCAAAGACAATGCAAGAAGCTGGGAATCTCCAGTAAAATTTCTTGGCCTATATTATGGCAGACTGCATAAGCGTATCGTAATGGTCACCTGCTCTGAAGATCTGTAGATGGTTAATTTGGTTCACAAACTGTTAGGCTTCCACTGAATGCCTGGAAACTGCTTTGTCACAGCCTGAAGAAAGCTGGGGAAAGTGTTTTTTGAGTCACAGGTTATTATCAAAAGACCTGACTGTAAGGTTTTTGTTCCTTTAGCTCAAGAACACCTTGTTACTAAGCCATGGGATTTGTCTCACCAAGTTTCTGACCCTTGGAAGGTCATAGTGTGCAATTACATGAAGTGAATAGCTGCATAACTGCTGCTTAAGAGCCAATGGATGGATAGCTTGCCATCACTAACCAGTTGTAGCTGAAAGGCTTTCCTAAACCTCACTGCTGTAAAACAGTATTCATCATCCCCAAAGTCAGACTGTATTATGCAGAATTTGCTTACAGTGATAATGTCTTGGTCCTGGATGGTGGAGAGAGCTGATCAACCAGGCCCTGAAATTCATTCTTCTCTGAACACCTGTCTTCCCAGCTCTCCTGCAGCCCCAGTGTTTGAACAGCATTTTCAGTTTCACCATATCCATTGTGTACAGCAGCCTGAAAAATAAGGCATTTCTGGCTATACAACATCAGCAAAAATCAGACCTGTTCCACTGAAAAGAATCTCATCTTTCATAACGCTAATTAAAGTAGAAACAAATATGAGTAATCTGGTTGCAAACTGCAACTGAGAAATTCACTGCAGAGCAGGATTCCGGTATTCCTTCAGAACGGAGTGGCATTAAAAGAGGCTGCCAGAGAAAGCTAGATCAAGAATCCTGTCTGATTTTTGCCCTTCGTACCTTACAGGCTAACATACCTGAGGATCACTCACCTCTGCTAAGCCAAAATCAGGTGGTGGTTTCTGTACAACAGGAGAGTTGCTGAGACCTAAGAAAGATGCCAAAATGCCACTGATCAATTACAGAAAACAAGGGGTTTCCATGGGTTCTTCCTTTGTTGTCTAACAGCAGTTTGACTACAGTCTAACGCCATTAAAGAAACTACATTCTTGAAAACTTAAGAGACTGGCTGAAAAGGTCTACTTTCTCTTAGGACTGACATTAAAGTCAATGTTCTATCTTTATTAAATGCCATGAATCCTATTAACCAGGGTAACACTGTACCGAACTTCACATACAAACCTAATGACTTGAACTCCTCATCAAGCAGACAAGTAGAGGTTGTGCTGCTGTGGCGGGAGGTGGTGGTTATGTCTGCAGATTGGTCTGTAGGAGAGTGGGACGTCACCTCCAGTTCAGAGAAGTCAATCAGTGTATAGCTCTTCACGCGTCTTGGGGTTGGCGGGCATGCTTTGGAAACAGCAGAAAGAGTTAAAGAGAAACCTCCTGAAAGGAACAGTGTGTTTATGGGTACAGGCATGCTCTAAAGAACTCATAGGTGAAGAACTTCAGGAATATTTTCTATCAACCATATGTAAAAGAAAATGATGGTTACATAATAGTTTTCCTGTGTTATAGGGTTTTCTCCACATTTATTCTCCAAGACGCACTTTCCTTCCAAACTCCACTCATACGTGACGTGCAGGAGCGAGCTATCAGGGAACGCTGCAGGATGCACTTTACCTGCTGCATCAGCAGAGCTGGTGGCTGAACCTCCTCCACCACCATTTTCATGGCTGGCTACAACCTGCCTGTACTGTCCGAGTGCCTGTGTGAGCTTGTCATTGGCCTGCAGTATCTCAGCTGGAAAAAAAGAGAAAAACCAAAATATTAATGTACTAACACGAGGGTCAGTTCCACGGTACTCTCCAAACTGCTTATAAGAAAGGTACAGTGCATCTAAGGACTTGCCTGGAGCAAAGCCTAATGGGGCAATCCGCCTTAAGGTCCTGCCTAGTTTTTCATTCCATTTTCTGAAGCGCAGCATTTTGCACATACATCTGCTGATTTCAGGCCTCTCTCATTTATGAAGATCACTTTGAAATCTGATCCTATCTCTAAAGTACTTACAGTTCCTGCCATCTCGTATGCACTTTGTTGTTCTCCGCAAGTTTTATGAGTGTACTTGAGTCTATAATCCAGCACTCCCCAGCTGAAGAACCCTGGCGTTCGTGGGTATGAATGAAATGTTTGAGACACAGCTGAGCTCTTATTGTTGCTGTTTAAGATGTCTATTCCGGGAGGCATCACTTCAGTCAGGTTTTCAAGGCATATGGACAAGACTGAAATGCAATCCTCTGGGAACGGTTAAATTTCACAACCATAGAATTCAAAGATTGTGCTTATATGACCCTCCTCTGTATTATACTTATAAAATTAAAATAATATTCTCCCTTCTGTGTTTATAGACAGGTCTGTAGAAAAAAGACCTCAAAAGCCTTCAGTTCTGTGAACATCAGAACTCCCCAAACTCTGAAAACCACCTTGGCTGGAAGAAACTTGATTCACTGTTTAATTTGGGGCTCCAAGTGAAAATTAGTAGCTTCCTTGGAGACGAGTGAGAGGAGACTGCCACTTCCCATGAGCATGGTTTAAAGGGAAAAGTGGAAAGCTCTGCCAGCAGGGTAGCATGTGCCTAAGCATTCTCCCTCTCAGAGGAAGGGAATAGCCCACTTGTTAAAGGAAAGGTAGATAAACTTAACCGTAAAGAAATCAAGGACAGAGTTGGCTCTTACCTAGAGCCTCATCATCATCAACTGTCTCACTTGCAAGGCGAAAGAGCAGCGGCCTGAGCTTCTCACAGCGTTGAAACAGAGTCTATGGAAGGAAATGTTTCATGTCATTGCTCAGGAGATCCCGGACACTCTCACACTTCTCTGTCCCTGTGATCAGCTGTAAGTGATGCTGCCTCTAGAAAAGGAAGATGCACTTTCTGCCCAGGGTATCAATGCTGCATGTTGCTGCACTCTTAAAAATCCACAGTGGCCTGGAAGTACAGCCACTGGAACAAGGAGACTTTGCTGGTATCGCCTCAGCCATCACATACTCTCTATGCATACAGGTGTAAGATAGATCAGTGTAAAATTACTCCATTTAAAAGAAAAAGTATCCAGGAGTTAATTGATTAATCACAGTACTCGGGGAAATACTACAACCATCAGTTGGAACTACCCTCAGAAAATCCAAAGCCACTTATGGCTCTCTTCTTGGTGTTTTAGGAAGTGAAGAGGCACAGAGGCAGCCACTTCTTCAGTCTGAAAGTAGAGTCTCTTCCATCTACAGCAGCAGCCCTCCTAAAGGGCCTAACTCCAAACTCTGCCATCACACATAGCCACAGGAGTTGTTCTGACCTACAAAAATTCAGCTGTCTAAAGTGTTTTTAATTTGAGAGTCTGGTAGGCATCCTAGTGGAGTTTCAGGTATTTGGATGCCATAAAGCTATTCTGACAGCCCTATTAGTGACACCAAATGTTTCCTTAATTCACTGATACTTACGAGCAACAGCAGAACAGTGAACTCTGGGCAGAAAAAGGGGAATCACAGAAACTATAGCAGAACTGAAGAACCCAGAGCTTTGAGCTTCTCTGGTCATATCTCATCACACCCACCTAACCATGCCCAGACTCAAGGGGATTCCCATGTGTTATGTCACTACTGGAGGAAGAAGCATTTCCCCATAAGATACTGCAAGAAGAGCAGCTAAACTGGACAGAAACTCAAAACAGGCATAGCAGGAGATGGTTGCATTCCAACTTCCATTACACTGATGGAAGGGACTGTTATTCATCAAATACATTAGAAACCATTTCTGCCGTGGTAATGCTCTTTC